GAACCCCTGACCCCCTGGTGCACGGGCTGACACTCTAACGACTGAGGTGGTCCCTGAATTTTGAATTTCATGTCATTGTCACCTGTCACAAAATGCGATTCTGCTTCTTCTTCTTCTTTTTTTTAAAACCATATACAAAAATGTAAAAACGATCATTAGATTGGGGGCTGTATGAAAAGAAGCATTTGTCCAGCCCTGGCCAAGCTAGTCAGGTGGTTAGAGCGTTGCTTGATACACCAAAGTTGTGGGTTCAATCCCGGGTCAGGGCACACACAAGAACCAACCAATGAATGCATAAATAAGTGAAACAATAAATTGATGTTTCTCTCTCTTCCCCCTCCCCTCTCTCCTTCTCTCTCTCTCTAAAAAAAACAAAATCAATGTACAAAAGAAAGAAAGAAGAGTTCGTCCAGATTTGGCCCACAGGTGGGAGTTTGCAGATGACTGCTCTAGGGAAATATAACTTTGTTTGACTTACTATCTGCTGTGGGTTGGGGGCCCCGACTCTATAACTGGTAGAAGATTGAGGTGCTGCAAATAATTTTTGTTCAGTAGAGATGTCAATAGTTTCTATCTGGTAGATAGGAGAACCCCAAAGGTTTGATAGCCCTTTAGATGTGAATGGATTTTATATCTAACTTAGCAATCTTGTTTCTGCTCAGCATTCTTTTCGTCACTGATTGTATTATTTCAGTGAAGAAATCTGTCCTTTGAACTGGCTTTCTTATCCTTCTAGTTTTCTTATTAATCGACTCGGTGCCCGGTGCACAAATTCGTGCACCAGTGGGGTCCCTCGGCCTGACTTGTGGGATCGGGCTGAAATCGGTTCTCTCTTGTGGGATGGGGCTGAAATCGGCTCTCTGACATCCCGAGTGGGTCCTGGATTGTGAGAGGGCGCAGGCCAGGCCGAGGGGCCCCACCGGTGCATGATCAGGGCTGGGGATGGACACAGGAGGTTGGCCAGCCAGGGAGGGACCAAGGGAGGGCTCCAGGGCCTGTTCAGCTTGTCTTGCTCAGTCCCGATCAGAGGGACCCCAGCAACAAGCTAACTTACCGGTTGGAGCGTCTGCCCCCTGGTGGTGCGTGCATGTCATAGCGAGCACTTGAGTGACCTTAGCATATCATTAGCATATTACACTTTGATTGGTTGAACAGCCAACCGGTCGACTGGACACTTAGCATATTAGGTGTTATTATATAGGACAGTGATGGCGAACCTATGACACACGTGGTGTCAGCCTTTTGAAAGACCCTAACTTAACTCTGGTGCCGTGTCACATATAGAAATTTTTTGATATTTGCAATCATAGTAAGGGTTAAGTAAGGGTTTTTCAAAATGCTGACATGCTGAGCTCAAAAGGTTCACCATCACTGATATAGGATTAAAAAAACACACCTTAAATATTGCCCTGGCCAGTGTTGCTCAATGAGTAGAGTTTTGCCCCATGCACTGAAGGGTCTCAGGTTCAATTCCTGGTCAAGGGCATGTACCTGGGTTGCAGATGCAATATTTGGCCCTGGTCAGGGCACACGTGGGAGGTAACCTATTGATGTGTCTCTCACATCAATGTTTCTCTCTCTCTCCCCACTCTCCCTCTCTTCCACTCGCTTTAAAAAAAAATCAATGGAGAAAATACCCTTGGGTGAGGATTAACAAAACAAAACAAGACAAATAAACAACAAAAAAAAACAATTAAAAATCATATTTATGCTACTTGTTCATCAAACCAATGAGAACAGGACTCTGCCTCATTCGTCACCGTATCCCCAGAGCCCCGCACAGTGTCTGGCTCACAGTTGGGCTGGAGTAGCATTTGCTGAGTAAATAAATGCAGGGGTGTCCCACGCCC